TTGAAAAAGTAGAAAACTTGTTTCAAACGGCTAATGCGCGTATCCAAGATACACTTTCTGAAAAATTCTTTCAACAGTAGAAATTAAAAGGGGACTAATCTGTAATATGTACCTCTCAAACTTTATAATCTGATAAAATTCACAGTCCATTTCCAAACTTCAACAAAAACCTGGCACAACCTTATTCAGGACTAAGCGATCATTGATCCGTTCTCATGTAAGTCAAATTATGATTAAAAGTTTCTACGGATCTGTGTTGTTGAGAGAATCACACTTTAAGATGTTAGAATAAAACTTCTGCAGAATTAAAAGTCAGAAGAAAAAGGGTTTTTTAAAATAAAACAATAAAAAAAAGAATAAATAGAAGTGATAGTTGAACGAACCTATGGCAGGAAGATGCGCGAAAAGCTGATTGGCGCCTAATCCTACAGTATTGTGAAATTTGGGATTCCGTGCTCCAATGAGATCCAAGAGCATCATGACATCCTGTAAACGCTTACTTGAGGAAAAAATGAAAAACTCTTAACTATGGTTTATTTAGTGCTACTTGTCTTATAATAAGAAAAGTAATAGAAGTCAAGATAGCTGAGACTTAAAAATTTAATTTCAAGGCAAAAACTCGGTTCACAACTCACAATTCTATCAATTTCCCTGCTCAGCTCGAAATTTGTACCAGTTGTTGTTGGATACCACTTTGCTTCCCATTTCTTCGCTAAGTGTCTGGAACCGTATAGGGAATCAGTAGGCGTCCATTCAACAAAGGCCTCTTCTCCATCAAAGAAAATCAACTGAAGTGCGACATCCTAAATATAGAAAGCTTAGAAACCTAACAAGAGATACAGAAGAAAAAAAAAGGTTCAAAAATCAACAGCAATGATAGAAATTTCAAAACACTGGATGATTACAATCTTTAATAAAAATGGTTTTCTTAAGCTCTAAAAATTTAATCCAATTTCTGTGTCGAATCAACACAACTCCAAATAGCACTCCTTTAAAAAAGCACCCCTTTAAAAAATTTTAACTTTCTTTTTGCCCCCGGAATTCCAACAACATCTCTTGTAAAAAAAGAAGTTCGGGAAAAACTCACCGCGGCCACCCTTTTGTACATATAAGGAGTAAGAGTTCTAGCAATGTCCATCATCATAGCGCATGGTACGGCTGAATCCGTTGCGGCAATCATCACTTTCCTTAAATTACAATTTTTCAGAATCCTAATCTAAATGGAAATTGACCAAATTGCTGCTGACCCTGGTAAGATTTTCGAATCGTAGTGACAGGCTAAAACTAAACGACGCGGCGATCTCGGATCACTTGTTACAATAAGATTTCTAAAGGTTTTACGGCCATATGGAGTGTTTTGCTGGAAAATTCATCCTTTTTTTTCTCGCAAATCACTACATAAGATGTCACGAAAGTACAGGAAAAAACAGCAATAAACCTCAAACTGATCCCATTCGGTCGTCCACTTCAACTTGATGAAGTAGTTGTGAATATACTGGAAAAAATGTAAGAATCACCCAATTCCATAACAATCATTGCGAAAATCAATAAGTGTTCACAAGATGATGGACAGAAGAATGATTAGACTACTGAAGGGCACGACAAACCATTGAATCCGAGGGATGTTCTAGTCGAACGTGCTCTCAAATAAATTCACCTCGCCAACTTGCCGATGCTGCGGTGTATCCACAATTCTGGGAACCAGGAATGGTTTAAGAATCCTTTTGAATCTAGTAGCATCCATGAAATCTCTGCACAATCGCATTGTCGAATTCTTTGGCAATAGAGAAAGTGTGTGAGATCGCTGGAATTAAATTGACATCTTTAAGAAAAAATTTTGAAAGAGTAAGCATGTTGAAGCATTTTTAAGCATTTTTCCAAAAATCCCGCAGCTCGTTAGTAGCAATGAATTTTGCTCAAAGCTTCGTCAGCTAGCTCTTTTTTCATAGAACCTGTCTGCCGATGTACCCTGGAACCGGAACACGGTAGAAACCCGGTGGTTGGACAAGGATCCTCCGAGGAAGATGTGGGATGTGAGGTTTACGCTGGGAAAATTGACTAACAATAAACTGAAAATCAGGCTAAAATGAGAAAGAACACAGGAAAAGCCTAGCAAACTAGAATGTGGATAAGGAAACCAAAAACTGAGCCACGCCTTTTCCTTCCTAAGAAAGAGATTGAAAAACAAAAAAAAATTAGCTGTAATTATGCATATATAGTCAGAAAATCTAAACTATGAGAAGAAG